ATCGCTTCGGCAAATTTTAAAAGGTTGGAATTTGATTGTTTGTTGATCACCTTGAAGGACTTCAGTATATCGATTTCGTGTCCTGTGTCAAGATGTCTTGCGATAGCGCTGCTGAATGTTTTTGGTCCGTTTGATCTCAAACCCTTCGGAATATGTTCTTTGAATCGGACGTAGGCTCTCCTTTCTGTTCTACCAATGTAACTGCTTTGGCAGATACATGTAAATTTGTATACACAGTTGGTGGTAACATGAAAGGGATACCTGTCGACCTTTGATTGTGTCAAAGAACATGTTGTTTTGGACAGGACAATCAATTTAGCTGCTGGATATGTTTTTGTCAATGCAGATCTTTTTATACAAAAAGAAACAGTAATAAATCTTTCTTTGCCCTGGTAACATTAACCCCTCTTTTATTTATTACGTCATTCCAACTCTTTCAAAAAAAATTTTATAATTACATCATTCATAACTGACCAATTTCAGTTCATATCTCTCTTTATTACCATTAATCTATTTTCAGTTACTTCATTACATAATCATCTAATGTGTTTTAATTCCATGAGTTCTAATCACTATTTCTATGTTATAGAACCTTCTCTCCCAAACTATATATATTCGAAACAAAAAATGTTTATAACCTCATTATCTCTAACAGCATCTTTGCTACATCATGTTACTTAGATTTATCCTTCATCACCCTCTTATGTCTAAGTATGTCAATATCTGTAATAACGTTGAATTTCAAATATTTTAGGTTGTAAGCAGCTGATGAGAACCTAACGAAATAAAATGAATTCATATTATTCTGCACCAACCTCTGTTCTTGCTCTCTTTAAAATAATAAAGGGAACTATGTGTATAAACGAGTTATCTTTAACAACCTTAAAACTGTGTATTAAACAAATAGAAACAGGTAAGGAAACTTTACTATGCGACACATTTACAGTTGGGGATCATCCAATCTTGCCGAAACATTATTGGCGTAACGCTTTCAATATGTCGTGCAAACCCGAGCTCCCACTTTTGGGAAACTCCCGAATTCAAATTACCTTCTAGCAAATTGTTGTGGACGGAATAGAGGAAGCTTTCGCTTAACAGGCTTCCGTGTCTAGTAGCAGGGGATCACCAGTACCTCCAGGCAGGAACCTAGGTATATTAACGATAAAAGAGAAAAAAAGAAATTGGCAAATCATAGTAAGATACTATCCTTAGTCCTTAAGAATAGATCAAGTCGCCTCATAGAGGACTCCTGGGAAGTTGCTTGGACTAGCTCAGCTGGCAGCGAATTCCAGCATTTGACAACTCTTAAGGAGTAGAAGTTGTGTCTGCAGTCCTTTCTACTATGTTGTATCTCTAATTTCTGGGTGTTACCCCTTAGGCTAGTGTTGGGACTAAGCTTAAGTAGGTGTTTAAGAGGATGTCCAGGAGTGTTAAGGATACTGTAAGCTATTAGAAGGTCACCTCTAAAACGCCTATACTCTAGTAGGCAAAGGTCGAGTGATTGGAGGCGCTCATCGTAAGGTTTAAATTTGAGTCCCCGAACTGATTTCGTGGCTCGCCGTTGGATACGCTCCAGAGTGTCCTTATCCTTTTAGAGAGTAGGAGGGAATACTATGTTTCCGTACTCTAAATAGGGATAAATGAAACTATTGAAGATTATGTGGAAAGTTCTCCCGCCAAACTGACCAAAAATGCGCTTCAATGTTACCAGTGCAAGGTTTGCTCGAAAGGCATTTCTGTCACAGTTGGCGTAAGACTAAAACGTAGGGCACCAGAACTCCTAAATCTTTTTCGACTCGGGATACTACTAGAGAGGAGTTTCCTAAGTTGTAACTGTAGTCTGCGACGTGTCGCACATGGACTACTTTACATTTTGAAGTGTTAAAGGTAAGTCCGTTATCGTCTACCCAGCTTTGAAGTCCAGTCAAATCCTCCTGAAGTGCCTGTATATCCTCTTGGTTGCGTATCTCTCTCCAAAGTTTCACGTCATCGGCAAAGAGAAATAAGTCTGACGTTACCTGTTGAGGAAGATCATTTATATAAATCAGAAAGAGAAGAAGTCCTAGTACTGAGCCCTGCGGGACCCCACTGGCAAGCGCATTTCACCAATGTATTATTTGTCTGCTCACTGAAATTTAGACGCTTACTCCATTATGCTAATTTCTGTATGAGTATGACTGAGCGCGTGTCTGCACACCAATCCTTAATCTATCCTCCCATTGGTTGTAAGACACAGGTAATCAATAATTTATCCGTAATCGATTAACACTCATAAATATACATGGATTTTCAACAATAACACACTCTTTGTCTCACTGTACGCTTGAGGATTTTATTAATCTTTAACAATGAAATATCTCTACAACTGATGTTCAGGCCTCTGAGTAATCTCGAGTAAATCCATAACTCGACTGGATTTAGCCAGTGTTAAATACTCAGTTAACGACACGTCACTTTTTGGAGTCATATATAGAGAAAATTTGCCTCTACAACCTTTAGCAATGTTTGGGGAACTTTGGGTAAATCTCAAAAGACCTTAACCGAGGTTAAAGGGGAATTCCCTCAGGTCTGGGGTTTTTGTGCCATTCACCCAAAGTTTACTATAGCGGCTTTTCGAAAATTTCCCAATTTTGATGCCATTTCCTTGGATCTTGAGAATTTTTCCAACAATTTGGGTTTTTCCATAACACTTCCCACGCATTTTTGGGGGAAACCCGTCTATATTTATTGATAAGGCCCCAAAACTCTTCACAATTTTGGGGAAATTTCCCGTTTTCCCTGAAATTTTTTTTACTATATTTCACCAGAACTTTGGAGACCCCCCTATATCCCCCCAGAATTTTATTACCCTCAAATTTTCCGCTATTCCGGAGAATTGCCAAAATGTCTCGTTTTCGCGCAATAATTCTCAACGATTTTCGACAGATATCACGGACAAGCCAGGCGATTTAATAATAAGCATCTCAAAGTCTCTACTCATGTATTCCACTTTTTCCTGTTAATTTCGCACAGTAAACGCAGTGTTAAAGCAACTTAACTACAATCAGTAACGAGAATCGATGTGGCTGCAATTAAAAGATTGATTTTTCACACATTTAAATGTTTACTAAGTTTTAATAAATTACGAATTATCTATTAATGAGAATTCTCACCCAGGTGTTCGTGCTACCATTAAGCTCATAGAAGGACGATTTTGTTGGCCTGGTCTGAGTAGAAAAGTGAAGCAAAGCGCATTCTTCTTTATAAGCTGCCAGTAATCTAAGGTGATCAGACACAACAAATGTCCTTCATACTCATTCAAAAATACCGATGCTCGTCTCGACCATGTTCATCTGAATTCGGTAGGACTCTTACCAGATTCAAATGGATTATCTTTTCTCTTAACTTGTGTAGACCATTTCACTCGATGGCCAGAAGCAGTATCCATCAAGGGCATTACTGTTGAAACAGTGACTCGCACCTTCGACGAATGGTGGGTAGCAAACTTCGGCTACCCTTCAACTGTCATTACAGACCGTGGACGCCAACTCGAATATGGACTTCTCCATCGTCTAACAACATTATTATGAACCACATGATCTCGAACGACCGCCTACCAACCAAAAGAAAACGGGTTGTTAGGACGCTTTCACCAATTGCCTAATTATGCTATAAATAATATGAATACTAGTTTTAGCTATTGCTATAAGTAAAGTGCATACCGTATTTAACGCACTGTCAGTTAGTGAATTAAGTCGTGTCGCTTTCTAATTGACATACTGAGGACCTTTGAGGAAAAACCTTGTAATTTAGGCCGCATCAAGATCTCGGATTCTAGGACTATACTCCAAGATCCAACACATAACCATAAAACGTTTTATTAAACTTCATTTTTCACATCTAGTATATATAGGAACCTCCTTATAATAGCGGTGAACATTAAACTTTATTTTTTTAATAACGTAACTCTGGAAAATATCATATTTACATCCATAGGAACATTTGTATGATGGTCATCTAGGCGAGTGTTGATTTTCCAACGCAGCATCAGTCGTTTGTTAAATCACTCCATCCTACACGACTAGGTTATGATAAGTATCGTTTGACTTGACAGATTAGATTAGAGGTTCGAACACGAACTCATCTACTTTAGATGTAGATAACCAGTAGTAAGCAATCCTGACAATCAGCGATTAGTTTGGCAGGTCGTTTACCGACCTAGAAAATCTCATATTCATTGGTCATACAGATATTAAGTATGTCTCAGTCATGTTTATATTAAACATTTTTACACATAGATGTCTCCCATTATTGTAAAAAAGGACTCGTTCCTACCGTGTAGTTAAGTTGTCTTTTGATATCTGAATGACGCAAACGTTTGATCAGAGAGCCGACAAAGGTGATTGCAAATGCTTGTAGAACAGAGGTTTTTCCAACACCCTAAAATGAAATGACTTCCATCCACATATTCATAAAGGACCCATATAAATTATACAAGTATCAGGGTGTAAATCTATTGCATTCTCTCACAGTGCACAATTTTCTAAAATCTGTGGAAAGCAGTGATTTTTGATAAGCTTGTGGGTACGTTCATCGTATTATACTTCGCCCAATATCAGAGCAGCTACACGATGATTGAAGATCAGCGACAATTGTCCCTTGATATCATAGTCACCTTCGATTCACATAACAGGACTGATTATTTATCTAGAGGTGTGCGTAAGGATTTTATTAGCAAATTGGTCGCTATGTACACAGCCTATCCAGATTCAATCTAATTAATTGGTGTCCATAATTATGGTACGTATTTCGCGCTTTCTAAATTACTTTTTTGTTGTGAGTAGCTAAAGTTTGACCACAGTTAATTCAAAATAACCATAAAACTTACACCATTCGTGTAAAATTCCCTTCCTTACAACAGTTTGTGGAATCAGGTAATGCTAGTGTCCTCAGTTACGGGATTAAACACGAACAAGATGCCAGGTGAGCAGACTACTGCTGACTAACTAGAAAACACTAAGTCAAATGTTGAAATTCTTTAGATGTTCGTGGACATACATAAAAGACAATGAAATGTACAAATTAGACAACTCCAAACAAAATTCAAGTGTTCATCGATCCCGGACAGATTCAAATTCATAAACGGGAGGCGCCATCTTACTTCCTTTGAATATAGTTTTGTACGCTCTTTTGGTTAAATTTGCCTAATGGAAAATAAATTACACTTCAGATGGTAAGGTACAATTAAAGAAATATTTTTTTTATAGATAGGTAAAAAAACTTTGAATTCCGCTCGATCCACCATATCGGGCTTTCGCATACGGATTTAGGTACACTGAAACATAAGTTTATCTTGACAGTTTATTCCGAAGTGAAGTAAAATCAAAAGATGGCTAGACAAATGAGACATTGTTCCATGAAGCCTTATGTTATTTTTTTCGAGTTGAGTGGAGGCAGTGTCGGTCGTTGATGTTTGTAATGTAACAGAACAGGAATTAGTAACGTTAGCGGTACTTATGATAATGTGAAAAGCAATCTGTAGATTTTTGTTTCAGTTCGTTTTTAGTGTTGTAGTTTCTTAAGGAATACTTTTGCCTTCACATTATTGTACCCTTTATTGCACGAATTATGTTTGTCTATATATTAAAGGACAGTATAACTCCGGAAGTAACCCTTCTAGGATAACTACCAGTCCCAAACCTGGATAAGTAAGGGTTGGCTATAGACTAAGCAACTTTATTCCGTAGTGAAGAACCTTGATAAGATATGCCAACCACAAAAATTACTTTAACCATTTAAACACTGCCCTGACAATTGAAGGATTTTTATTTAAATGAGTTGTGAACCCTCATAATGGAAGCCGGAACTTCGGAAAACATGAGGTCGACCCTCTCTCTAGCAATCAGAATAATGTAATAAGTACGCGGAGTGTCACACAATGTGGAAGGCTGTGAGGACCATTTAAATAGATGTGGAGATGAGAAGATACAACCTGGCAGTGCTTCAAATAAATGAAACCCGTTGGATATAAGCTTAACAGAAAAGACTGGCTTCAAGGGAGATTGTGTCGTCTTATGGTCACGAAGAAGAAAATCCCCCATACACACAAAGAGTTGCACTAATACTCTCCAAAAATAGCTTACAAGATGAGATGTTTCCAAACGGTTCACCTATACACGTTGTTCAATATCTCATAACCAGTTGATGTATAGCGAATATTTCGGTTTAACTAGTTATTCGACAGTTATTCACAGCATCGCGATTCAGTTGATAAACGACAAAATCCAACCTGTGGTTCTCACACTTACTAAAACTCCTTTTTTTCGGTATTTTGATGAGTTATCCCAGACTCCAGTTTGTTGGTATTTATTGTCCCTCCCAAATCTTTTTAAAGAGAAAGTGGAGCATCTTTCTAGTCACCTCTGTTTAGATTCAGTGCTTCACTCGGTAAGTTGCTTTGTCATTACTGAGTTGTCTGGTTGCCTTGCTGCTCTCTCTAGGATGCACTGCATGATCATCTAGCTTATCTTTCTCGCTTTGGCTCCCATTATCAGTAGGTGGACAACACTGCATCACACTTATTGTTATCTTTGTTTTGAAGGATGCTTTGATGGTCTTGGAGCTGAGTTTTCAAATAAACAAGCGCGCTTTGTTCTTCTTTAAACAACATCGTGTTTGTTCTAGAGTCATTTTCTTCGCCATGAGCACAATGCAATAATATCATCCAGAAGTTAGTCTTCTTGTCTACGTTGTTTTCAGTTTGTTTCACTTATTCCAAACACGATCAGACTTTTTAAACATCCTGATTACATACTTCAAAACGAGTGAGCCACTGGGATTTATCTACACTTAAATAAAAGCCTGTTTTGTTGACGTGAAATCCGATTAGTTTTTGTCTTTGTTTGGAGATTTATTTTGATTGTCAACGTCCACAGTCTGAATTCCAACCTTGTAGTTATTTTCCTGATAGATTGGGCCAATTTTTATATGTCAGTCAGTCAGCTACAACGTAGGACCAGGCACATATGTGCATCGGTTCAAGTTGCCATATCTCATTAACATAACAAGATGAACACCGAATTCATAAAGTAGTTAATTCAGTGGTGGTAATATATAAAAGATTGCATATAAGGATATAGTACAGGAAGAAAGAATTAGTTGGTAGAAATAAAGATTCACAACCTCATTAGCTGACTTACCCTCATTACCTAATACCATGCGTCTAACTTCACTATTACTTACCCGGTGATCCCAGCAGATGCAATATTTCTAAGGCAACTGCGGTCAAGTACTAATACTTTACGAATATCTTCTACTCTTACTGACCACATTTTGCAGCTGTACAGTAGATCAGAACGAACCTTGGGTTTGCTGCTTTTTGTATAGCCACTCTTCAACCGACCTGCCTGGCATGGTAGGACCTTGAGGAACGATTGTTCCAGCCAGTATAGCTCGGTTGGTTCATCACGATAGGCAAGGCCGACCACATCGTCAAGGTAGCAACAACGGTCGGGCAATGTCGATATATCCATTAATTAATGAATAACCTGAGAACAATGGGATTGTTTCACCTATCTATAATTTCGACGCTTTCCCGATCAGTTTCGTGGTGAGAATTGCTCACATTCATCGATGTCAGCGAAGATATGTAGTAACATCTGACAGCTAGTTGGTATTTACGTAAAGGCAGGTGAACAGGAAGGCCAGTTTGTCCTATAGTATCCTCGCAGATCATGGAAGGGTGTCTCGTCTATTTTTTGCCACTGTGTTCTTTGACCTGCTTAATATTGACCATCGGGATTTTGCGAGGTTGTAGGTAATGGATGTTCTTAGTCGCCTTAGTAATTTTGTCTATTTTAGTAGAGGCGTTCTCATGTGCGAAGGGACTATACGTTTACTGACTTTTTTACTCGGCGATGGGATTAATGTGGATTTCTTTACTGAATCTTGTGGGTGACTATACTTCTGACATGCATCGATTGGGTATTTCATATCATCTTTCTGCATAATGAGTGTTTCATTACATTTTTGCCTTTTGAACAGTTTGTGCAAAGATTAATTTATAATTCCTCAGGGTTTTGCTAACGTAATACACAATTTGATTATTGTGAGTTGGTTTACAATTTACTCGAGTTTTTCAGCACTGATTTTGGTAATCAGCAGACTCAAGAATGGCAATTTGTCTAAATCCGTTTCTAATTTAAATTTTACTTCACTAAAGGCGTTGTTGATCAAATTGTAAGTAATTTCCAGCTGACGTCTTTTAGTGATGACGATTGTGTTATCTATATACATCTAATTAGTCCTCCGTATATTATACAAAGTTGAATCCAAACTAAACTATATGCAAGCGAGCTGGCTCCAATACAAAGGTCTGTGCATTAGTTTATTTTAAAATTCATTCAGAGTTAGAAATTTATTTGTTTAGTCTTAAATAATTTTAACTAATTTTAAATTTTTAGTCTAACAGTTATTAGATAATTTAAAACATCACCCAATTAATCTACGGACTTCGAGCGACATCTGAGGTCATCTATACAGTAGGAACCAAGGAATACACAAAGTATTGGTTCAAATATCAACTAATGAATATGTCTTAAAGAGGAACATACCATAAGACTTTTCTTAGCTTCGTGCTGACGTAAAAGATATTTCAACTGTTTGGCTCTTTCTAGATGTTCAGATAATTCCTTGTAAGCATTAAAACGTTGAGCATAAATGTCTTCAACATAGGGGTCACTGGAAGACACTTCACCAAAAATAGTTTCATCCACTTGTAATTTCTCCGCATATTTGTGGTGTAGTTCAACCATTTCACCATAGGTTTCCGCAAATACAATATGTTTGGGAGTCTTCTTCGAACGGTGATTTTGTGATTCACTTTGTAGTAAGTGAGTCTTCGACTCAAGTTGATGTATCTTAGACATTTCTTTTTGTAATTCATATTGTAGGTGCGTAACGTTTTTATAAAATGATGATTTGATATCAGAGTCTAAATAACTTTTTTCCACATCTAACGGAATATGACCTTTTTCCATCTAAATAAAAAACAATAAAATTAGGCTTCATGTAGATAACAACTCACATCGAAACGAGAATTACACATATTAAAGTAAAATTCATCTGTGTTTTTATCTAAAGCTTTACTTCTTAACTCTTTTATTTTAGCACTTTTCGATTCCTTATCCCTGAAACATCAAAGTGAAATATGTAATTCGACCTCACTTGGCTCTTAAACGGAAATCCTGTTTTTTCGGTAGTATTCCAAGATGGTGTCTGCGTTGAGGCTAAAGAAAAAATATATTTCAAAAAAAAAACAAAAATGGCATACTTGGGGACGTTCTTTATGGATTTTGGAGAGTCGTTTTTGGACATTCTTGAATGATGCAAAAGGCATTATGCATTAGAATATTCCTGAGAAGTAACAGTATGCAAACCAGCTTGATAGCATTAGGTAGTTTCTGACTGACTAAGTAGAATCTGGAAAACAAAACTCATGTAGGTTATCAGGATTTAAATGATAAAAACTAATGGAAATTAGAACAAATACTTGCAGAATAAAATACAAACAGGTTATACTGTATAAAAAAGGCTGCCACGAGCAATTTCTTTGTAAGGATAGAGACTATACAGATAAAAAGACCTTTAGATAGCACGTTAAGCACCTCAAGTAAATGTGATAATGAGTTGATGCAACTCCAGTTATCTACCCACAAACCCGCTTTTAGTACAGTTTAGGCCAATTGATATGTTATTAAGTTTGTACACACAAACAAAAATTATTGATGGACGCTGATTGCTTAATAATAAGTCACCAATAAATATGGTTGTTTGCAGAAGAATAAGGTACCCTTAGTTGACAACGTTGAGGAAGCAATGGTGTTTTGCGGAAAAGGATTTTAAATGGAAATTCACTTAGATCAACATTAGGAAGCGATAGTTTCAAACACCAGGACCGGATCACTCATTCTTGAAGGGTCCTTTTTAGTTTCGGGTTGTGTAAAAACATCTTACAACCAAGACCGATGCGTCACGAAGAGTTGAAACCATAATAGCAAGCTACAGCGACAGGTTACAAGGTCAATAGATGGACCACTTTTAAAAATGAACCTTATAGTAGACAAATACGCAGAGGAAGTTGTTGATGAGCTCTCATAGTGATGAAACGAGCTATTGATACAGTAAGGTCATGATTCTTAAATGAATATTTAGATAGTAAACTTGATAATTGAGTACAGATGGTTGTGGAAAGCATAGATTTTACTTAACAGGCTTCAGTATCTAGCAGCAGTGGATCACCAATACCTTCAGGAGTGCACTAAGAATATTTAACAAACAAGACAGATATATTAGTAAGTTATAATGAGATAATGTGCTAAGTCCAGAAGTATACATTAACTTTCTCCATAAAGGACTCTTGGGAACTTGTTGAGACGACCTCAGCTGGAAGCTAATTCCAAGACTTGATTACTCGCAAAAAAGTGGGTGTCTATAGTCCAGTTTCATATGTTGTACTTATAATTCTGGAGTATTGCCTCTAAGGTTTTTGCTGGAAACTAACCTCAGGGGGTATTCAAGAGGGTACTCAAATTTGTTTAGAATGCCACAAAATCAAGTGAATTGTGTGGCGCATATATTTATTCGGTGACTCTTAGTACCAATATTTGTGTTCAAATAAATAAATGATTTAGGATACTCTTATTTCTTTAGAGTGATGAAATACTGAATTTCCGTACTCTGAACAAGGTTGAATAAGATGAAAGTTCTAAAAGCACTTTCGTAACAGCTGAACAATCATGTAACAAAATATCAAGACTCCCGGCTCCTTTTCAACCTGGAACACATTTAAGGGGTAATGCCCTAAATTGTGTGTGAGGTTTGAGACATGTCTTAGACAGACTCTTTTACACTTTGGAGAATGAAAAGCAATTCCATTGTTGCCCACTCAACTTCAAAGATGAGCCATTCGAAAAAGATATTTCGGAGAACGCTGGGGAAGCAGAGTCGTTTTAACCACAGGATCTTGTGCATTTTGGAGAAATGTCCACCTTTTTCCCAAGAAGTAGACAATTTTGGGAAAATGTATAACTAGAGGGTTAATTGGTAGACAATTGTTTACCAACCAATAAGGAGGAAAAAACGTGAAAATAAGGAAAATAATGTGGACGAAATTAAAAAAGGAAGAGAAATGTCGCTTTTTCACCTTCACGCCGGTTAGCTAGGGGAAATGTCGATTTTTCTACCTCACGTCGTGTAATCAGGGGATATCTGTCGACAACTATACGTAACGTCCGTTTTTGAATATGCCGCATCTCGTACTTATGTTTTCGTAAGCATTAAGAAAATAACGCACCGCCAAATAAAAAGACAAAGCTATTGTCATAAACACAATTACCATAATACGGACACAGGGATTTGGCTGAGTTGCATGTAAACTGACTATGCTTTTTGTTTTGTGGAGATAGGTCTGTCAAACTTATTTTGTGAATAATTTTTAATATTATTCGTATTTATCTTTCCAATCTTCCAATGTATGTACATTTATCAATAAATCATTGTATCTGTTGTCTTAGTAAATGACCTTGAACACTTTTTCTTCTGTTGTGGTACACGCATATCATGACACGTTGCTAACTGCTAACAAATACATCGTTGCACACATATTCTTGTTCTACATTCGCTTGTGGCTGAGCTAACTGGATTCCAAATCAGATACTATTCATCTTAACAGACTGTAATTCGAATATACTATATCCTATATCGGATCATATCACTGGGAAATTCATCAAACTTACTGGAACTATCAACCGTCCATAATTGTGGATATTTGGTATCAGATCAAAGAAGAACACGCACTAGTTTGGCCAAGCAAACACCGTTCCTTTATTTCTATTGTGTTTGTGACATTTAACCTATATATAGATAAACATTATTATTTGTTATTAATAACTTTGTTATTACCTTTTTGAGTTAATATATTGTCTGGTCCACCACGAGCCAAAGTGTTCCGACATCCTTGGTAGCCATCACAAATATATAACGTGAGGTAAGTGAGTGACGTGCTCTCCGTTTTTCATGTTCATTATAACTAATAACCTTGTTAGTCCAATACGATGAGTTCAATTAAAGTCACTGAGAGAGCACGTAGATGTTGGGCAACTGTTAACTTAGCTGTCATAGATCGACTAATAACAGACGGTGGAATAAAACACGAACAGCCTTCAAGAAAAAACATGACTTGCTTTCGTTTAGTCAGTTTGCTAATAAAAACACGATCAAAGGCAACTGACTTTAAGTGGTGTTTGAATGAATTAATGACTCCTTTGTACTTATGGAATGCATGATTTCGAATTCCAAATACAGTACATTCGTTCATGTTTATCTAGTAGTTCTTGATCCAATTACGTTATTTCTGGTATTATTAGTTTGTACTATAATTCAAATACTTCTAATTATCATATTGGCGTCGCGATGGGGCCTGCGATGGAACAGTTAGATATTCATTCGGATTTCGATGCTTATGAGGATTACTTTGAAAGGTTCGAAATCTGGGCTATGACCAAGGAAGATGATGAGGATATTAATATTGTGGCACATTTTCTCACATTCATTGTAAAAGAAGCATATGGCTTATTAAAAATTTTGGCTTTACCGGAAAAGCCCATTTCTCTTCCTTATACAACTCTCCAGGAACTACTTCTAGACTATGCTAAGTATACAAATTTCGAATGCGGTAAAGGGAGATTTCGTAAAATGATTCATGATGATATAAAAAATTCCACTACATTACGTCACCCCATCCCAGTGCATACTCAAGGGCATGCAGATAATTCATTGAGGAGTTGCAATGCAGTTCACGAAGATGGGCACAAGTTTGGTCAATGTTTGTCCTGTAGCAGGTTCCACTCTTCTAATTCATGTAAATTTCATGATTCTAAGTGCTTTAAATGTGGTGATATTGGACATATTCACTCAATTTGTAATTCTGATCCTAATAAGTTGAGTATTTATAATGATCATTTATCTTTATCTATGATTTCAAAAGACAATTTAGAGTAGTATAGCAGTTCAGATTTAAATGAAACTCAAAATCTTTGCGAGACAACAATTCCTAATCAATCAACCTGTCAGATTTCCCATGTTATTGTACCAGATATGATTTTTCCTAATGATTCACATATTTCTGATGAAATTTCTTACAAATCTGATGAGAATATTTCGGATGCACCTAATCATGATCGAAAATCTGATGTAGTTTTGATTGATGCTGATTTTTCTAATGATCCTTTACTCTACAATGACATTCTTAATAAACTTGAGGAAACCATTTCAGAAGAATCAAATCTTGATGTCATATCAAATATTATTTGTCCTCATGATGCATTTGTTTCTTGTGAGAAACTTGTTCAATGCGAAGCACGAGCATTAAATGCGTTAGAGTTTGATTACAATTCAGATAATTCCATATCAACTGTTATTTGTCCTTATTATAGGTTCACTTCCAGTGTTTACTCTAGTCAAATTGAGAAAGATGTTTTAAATGAAGCCACATTATTCATAACTTGGGGATATGAAGATCCGACATTGCTTCGTGGGGGAGGATAGTCTATGGTTAATATCCTAGTTGGTAGTTCTAGTATTCAACCGGCAAGCTGATTGTTCACAATCCCATAAATCAAGTGAGTCTGTTCCGATTTCCGTTGTTAATTCTAATACTAATGAGTGCATCCTAAATAGTACAGAGTTTTTATCCAATAGACTGTCGGACAGACAAAGGATGAACTTAAGAAGAAAACGTGCAATCAATTACAGACACCCGGACTCCAATTTAAGCCGTGGCGGATGTGGTGTTTGAATGAACTAAAGATCGCTTTGTTTTTGTTGAATGCTAGATTTCAAATTTCAAATACAGTACATTCGTTAGTGCTTATCTAGTAGTTCTTAATCCAATTACGTTATTTCTGGTATTATTAGTTTGTACTATAATTTAAATACTTCTAATTATCATACTACAACAATCTATCCGTACGATAAAATCACTCACATTATTTGTTCGCTGCATTGATGCATACTGCTCCTCTGAAAATGCACGTGAAAAAGCACCTGTAAGTGTATCTCATTCCACAAGTGATATTATAAGAACTTTAAATGTTTAGCCAATATTATTAGTGAATTCCCTAAGTAAAACAACCTACTAGCAACTTTAAATAATTTTAATAATATCTAACACTGATTTCAACTCATATTCAACCTTACTTCTATTCTTAAATTAATTTGATGTTTATCCAGTATGATATTTGCTTTATTTTCAATGTAATATTTCACTCAGTTCAACACTGATTTCTTCTTGTGTGGTGTTTCTCCAACATAATATATTATCTGTATCAAATTAACGTGAACTATCAAGTGAGTCTGTTCCGATTTCCGTTGTTAATTCTAATACTAATGAGTGCAAACAATTACAGACACCCGGACTCCAATTTAAGCTGTGGCGGATGTGGTGTTTGAATGATCTAATGACTCCTTTGTACTTGTCGAATGTTTGATTTTGAATTCTAAATACATTACATTCGTTAGTGCTTGTGTAGTACTTCTTGATTCAATTGCGTTATCCCTGGGATTCTTAGTTCATACTATAATTCAATTACTTTTAATTATCATGAGCACATTTCCTGACATTCATCGGAAGAGAAGCATACAGCTTAATAAAAACTCTTGCATATCCAGAAAAACCTATCTCACTTCCTTATTCAACTATTATTAGATCATGTAAAGTGCACTAGTTTTTAATGTCGTGAAAGGGTGAAATTTCATAAGACGATTGGTCAGAATGACCAAAATGTTAGGGAATTTTCTCTTGAATTGCAGAAACAAGCTTCCAAATGTGGTTCCAGTGATGAACTTCATGTGCAACTGAGAGATCGATTAATTACAGGAATTAACATACTGGGTTTGGAAAGAGAGCTGTTAAGAATGCCGAACTGTTTCTTTCAAGATGCCAGAACTGCATGTATTAACAACGAGGCAGTGAATGAATTTGATATCCAGTCGATGAAAATTTCTAATACTTTGCTTAGTCGTCATGATGAAATACAATCTCAAGGTCGATCAAACTTGCATTCTTTTGATGGTAATTCGTATTCTCATGTAAAGATGAAGGATATTTCAACAAGGAATTACAAAGCAAATCAAAAAGGTGAGATCAAGTTTGATAAGTGTTTATTCTGTGTCAAATTTGATTCTCGTAATTCATGTGCATGTCGTAATGCTGAATGTTTTAAATGTGGCAAGATAGGACACATTCAGTCGATATGCAAAACTACTGTTCATTTCGCTTCAAGTAGTACTAAGTCTTGTAATTTAGATCCCAATAATTCGGCTGTCCCTAATGATCATATATTTTTGTCCTCTATTTCGAAAGGTAATGCTCATATTCAAAAGCGATTTTATACGTCCCTCGGTTCATTTCATGACTTTATTGTGGATACAGGTACCACAGAGTCCATTATTTTACTCAAGAACTTGAAATCTTTAGATCCTAACGTTGTGATGTGATCCACCGAAGTCTCGATTTCGGAGATTACTGTACAAAGATCGCCCATACGAGGATGTTGTGAATCGCTAACAAGAGATGATGATTCTTCATACATACGTTGTGAATGTTTAGTTAGCGAAACAAGGCTGTCAATACTGGGTTTAAAGAATTTGAAAAGACTTAAAGTGGAGTTGTAGAATTATGGTCCACTATGATATTGGTACCGCTCTAATAACAGACTTAATCCTAAAATTCCAGATTTGTCATGATGTAACTGCCTAATCTATAAGATCTTGCGTGGAAGTCACATAATTATCTACACCAGCTCATCGCGTCGTAACAATCATCAATATATGATGAACACACTTAGGCTAGAGATAGAACAATACATTTAATATGAATGCAAGATATATATTAACACTTAATAGTAACCATGCTTGCAAGGCAGAGCCATGTCATCCGATGGGTTCAAACCAATTCAGTTCATTCTTTCCTCCTTCTCCATCATTGGCTTTTTCTCCGAGTTGAATGTTGAGTATGTATTTTCCAAGTTGTCTCGTGTTCAGGTTAAGAATTGTGTAGTTAGGGCTCAACTTCGGCACAGGAAAAAGGCAACGCTTCAGGGGTATCGTCCACTGATGGATGTTGCGAGCACTTGAAGGTCAGACTGTCTCAAGATGATTGGTGCGTCACATCTACAATTCGTGTAGTTTTTCAGAGGCGGTCAAATCAAGACATTTTTAGATTTGAATTGAACTCAGTCTTCAGTGATAAG